ATTTCAACAATGATTAATCCAATCACACTATCTTGGACGCATCTTCCACATATAGTAATTCTAAGCTTAATGCCTTACAGTTGTACTGTCCGGCTACAGATCACCACATGTCAAGTTGGCGGACCTACCGTCGTCCTAGGGCGCGAGTCCTGCACCAACTGCAAACTACAGAACAAATCACTGGTCGAAGATCCAACAGAGGAAATCCCCTACATCTGGAGGATGTAGGGGATTTCCTCTGTGGAAGATGAAGGATGAAGATGAAGGATGAAGATGAAGGATGAAGATGAAGGATGAAGATGAAGGATGAAGATGAAGGATGAAGATGAAGGATGAAGATGAAGGATGAAGGAAGAAAGATGAAGGATGAAGTGGAAGATGAAGAACTCTCCTAATTATGACTATGGTAACATACAAACCATGCTGCATAACGCTGTAAATTGCTCTATTTATTCCACAGCAGATGGGCCACAGGCAATCCAAGTAGCTATACCTAATGCAATGGATTGGCTTTTCCAACCTCAAAATCTAAATTTAATAATAGCCTGTTGCTATCCACACGCCATACGAGCGAAGAATAAAGGTCTTCGTGAAGCCACTTACCTTCGTTTAGGAACTAGAAAGTAATTATTCCTCTTTCTAAGAACCGACCAAGCAACATTCCGAACAGAAGTCCCAGTTTCATTTCAAGTTTAATGCAAAAATACAAATCACTTCCCTGTAGTTTCATGCGTAGTGGAGCACCCAAGGATGGAATACGTGAACACGATGTACGAAGGATGGAACGGAAATTACCTGTCACCTCTGAGTGCGAGCGTCGTCTACACTTGCCCTCATCCAGCGGGATTCACTGATGGGTCAATCAAACATTATTCCACCTGCTCTACTCACCAAGAATCAACCTGGAAAGAAAAGAAGAATTCCTTTAATTCTTCCTTTAAAGAGAGAATGTCCGTTGCTTATGTGAGTCTTCTCTGCCGTACCAACAATACATTAATAACGAATTTCAAATGAGATTCAAGGTACCCTCTTGAATGATTTTAATGAAGTTTCATGTCATTTGACATGACACGAAGTTTCATATTGGCGGAAAATGCTGGTTTGCTATAGTTTTAAATGCACCATCCTATGAAACTTATACTGGCTACATGCATTTCCTATTTTTGCACAGGATTCCTAAACTGGGTTACGCGCTGGAATTGATTCGACGAGAAGGGAGCATGAGTTCTCTCTCATGAGTTCTCTGAGATTATGCTCAGGTTGGTTTTAGCGTGTCGTCTTTATCCTCGAGAGAAACGTCTGTTACTTCTCTCAGCATACGAGAATGGGATTCGAGACTTCCGAGTACCATACGCGAGTACCATACGCGAAGAGCAGTGTGGGGGATACATCGCGATATCAAAATTCGTTCTCAATGGGATTTCAAAAACTTTCGAATCCTGGTCTTCCCAGGTTGCAAGCTGAATTTCAACTGATTACTGAAAGAGTGAAAGGACGTGGACGATATATTCTCTTTTGGAGAAACTTCATATATAGCGTTTCTTTTAGAAAGAATGTCTTCCTTGGAAGTGCCCGGGAAAAGAAATGAAAATAAACAAAGGGATAGGGAACTTCCATGCTATCAGCACATGTCATGCAATTGAGCGTAACATGGTATACATAAATGGAGTACATCGTCTGAAACGTACGCCATTGGCTCTCTCACCTGACGGGGTAAATTACATTATGTTAAGACATTTTAAAATGTGACGTCAAGTTACTTCGGATTACATGACATCACTGCCGACTTTAGGCTGAGACGTTCAAATGAAGGAAGTTTCTGAGCGTCAACCCAAACGAGGGTCACTCAATAAGTTATCTACCTGAATAAGAAAGAAACATCCGAGGGGAAAAATAACACTTTATTTTTCAATGTAGTCACCTTTTAACTCAAAACACTTATACCACTTTGATTCCAAGGATTTTATTCCCTGGGAACAGAAGTCAACTTCTTGTCCATCAAACCAATCAGAAACGGCAACTTTCAGATCTTCATTGCATGAAAATCTTTTTCCCCGCAAAAATTTTTTCAAGTGTCTGAACAGAAAATAGTCACTAGGAGCCAGATCCGGGCTGTAGGGAGGATAGTTGAGCTCCTGAAAGCCACACTCCCTCACTGCTGCCTGACCTTTCCATGATTTGTGGACGGGCGCGTTGTCATGGAGAGGAAGGACTCCCCTTGACAACTTTCCTCTGCGCTTTTCCTTGATGGCATCATGTAAATTTTTCATGGTGGTAGCATAGGAATCGCCAGTGATTGTACACTTGTCTGGCATGAACTCAAGCAGCAGTAGTCCCTCGCTGTCCCAAAACACAGTGGCCATAATCTTTCCTGCAGATTTCTGAACACGAAATTTGCTAGGCGTTGGCGATCCCTTGTGCTTCCACTGCATGGACTCCTGCTTGGTTTCGGGATCCCAGTGATGAACCCAAGTTTCATCACTAGTTACTATTCTGGGAAAAAAAGTTCCCCCGATTTGTTTAGAAAACTCCAAGTTTTCCTTGCAGATGTCAGATCTGTTCTTCTTCTGAGCTGGAGTCAGCATTCCTGGGACCCATCGAGAACTGACTTTGGACATGTGTAATTTTTCATGAATGATGTGAATCACTGTGCCCTCTGAAATCCCCAGTTCATGAGCTAAAACAGAGACTTTGGTGCGACGATCCTCCAGCATCGCACTCTCCAATTTGTCACACATTTCCTGACCAGAAACCTCCACAGGGCGCCCCGACCTCGGGTCATCTTCAATTCCCTCTCTTCCCCACTTAAACTGCTTGCTCCAAAATTTAACTTGGTAATAAGAAGGCGAAGACACACCATGAACGTTACACATACGTTCATGAATCTCCTTAGGCTCTTTCCCTTCTTTGGTGAGGAATTTCATCACTGAACGATGCTCAACTTTCGTCAAATCCATGACACAGACTCTTGAAAAGAAATCTAATGCGCTACCACTTTGAACGGACTTGAGCCACTGAGCTGGTAAAGTGGTGGGGCACTCACGAGACCTGTCGAGACATGTCACAGTAGGTACAGGCCTGTTGCTCATCCCTTTCATATTCAGGTAGATAACTTATTGAGTGGCCCTCGTAAGACTCCCTCATGGTAGTGTTTATTAAATACACTACCATTTACTCCACAATCAGGGAAACGATTTGTTCAAGCAACTTTATGCGTACATGGCCTCTGGAGAGCAGTAAAGTAGACTTATTCAAACAGGACAACTGTTGCAAGGACCGAGGTCCTTGTGTGTTCTGTGGCACCAACTGCTCCGTGCCCGTCTTAAATGTTCCTTCCTCAATCAATGGGCTTGGTAGCGCCTATACCATTTCTTAATCCCCCCCCCTGTAGCAAATCATTCATTCACTGTTAATTGAAAACTTCAAATGAATATGCGAACTGGAGCATGCGAAAAGTCCAATTATAGCGTCACCAGTGTGGTCTCGAAATACGAAGAGCGAAATATTTATCCAATGGTGTTCATGAACACCTTCACTCCAGCTGGCTTGCTCCTCATAAATTGACTTTAAAGCTTGGGATAATCGGCAAACTCATCAGGAACCTAAACCGAAAGCCGGGCCTGGTTAACGGAGTTCGAGTCTCAGTTCTGCGAAGTTACTCGTGTAAGTCTTGTCTGCACACTGGAGCAGTACGATTGGAAGTAGATTGCTACATCTCATGAGAAACTATTTTATAATTTGCAGAAATAATTTATATCAATCTTACATAATATATTAAAGGATTGCATAAAGTCTTCTTAGCTAATGATTGCGTGGATAATGCTGTAATGCTCTTAAGTTACTTATGTATGTTTTGTCTGCACACTGCAGAAGCACGATTTAAAATAGATTGCTGTATCTCATGAGAAACTACATTATAATTGGCAATAATAGTTTGTATTCTTGTTCAGTTATTATTTAAAAAGAATTGCATAAAGTCCCCTGATCTCATGGTTGAATAGATAAAACATTCATTTCTTTATTGGACTAATTCCTTTAATATACAATGTTGTTCAACTGGTTGGTACCAATACAATTGGTTCAACCTCAATTCGCTTGATGAAAAAGTGACTGACGACTAGGCCTGATTTCGACGCTCTGAAACAGCCGAGATAAAACGGGTTCTTAATGGCAATGTTTCAATTGGCATTGGGCATCCGTGGATATTGCCCAGAGGTCATATTCACTGAGAAAATAATTTTTCTTGAATGAATGGAACATTCACATTTTTTATGAAATCGTTTTCTCAGAGCGTATGCTAACGGTGGCTCACCTTTTGGAAATTTTTGCCGCTCTAGACAAGACGTTCACATTTGAACACATTACAGATGAAGGGGCTTTCTAACGAAAATATTGGGCTTTGCATTCTTTTAAGTATTAAAAAAATCTATCCGATAACAGAAACTTATTGCGTGAAGGTGAAGTAGCATCAGATTTGCTTCGGTTGGAATAGCTCCAACGGGATAATTTTTACTTGCTTCCACGAAATGTCAATAATTGCCAAACGAAATGGTACGATACGTCCTTCTTTGCATCGAGTCAGGCCATTTCGTCGAAAAACGGCTGTCTTTCAGGTTCATCAAGTTTCTCATCACGAGTCTCATAATTATGCAAATTTTGCTTCAAATTATGCAGAATAGGGCACGAGAGAAAAGGTCTTGAAATATTTCCGCTCATTTCTCCCCCAAAATAATAATTTAGGTGCTTCTTTTGAAGCAAATGCTTCCATGTTGCTTCAGACAGAAAGTGAAAGGTTGTTAGGCAGAAATACGGACCAAGTGTGTTTTCCTCAGATGTGCATATTGCAATTAATAATCTTATGGCTTCGTGAACATGAACTATGTGGAATTGAGGAATTGTGAAGACTGAAGGGAGATCTTAGAAATTATGGAACCCATATTTATTCTGTTTCACTTTCACAAATTTTCAAATCAATATGAATCACTATGAAGATAAATTATGGCCGTGGAAATAGAAAGGTTTGTGAAAACCAAATGTTATGAAACCCATACATGCATTCCTGGATACTTCCACAGAGACGCCGTACAAGCTTTGTGGCTCATGAGAGCCATCTTTGCGCTCACGTCAAGGGCCGGGAGATCCTAGAAAGTAGCTCCCAAAACAAAGTCGTAAATTATATTGACGAACGCAGTGATACATTATAATGACTTGGAATGTATTCCAATGTATGCTGTGGTTTTGATGATTATAATGAAAGGTGAAAGAAATGTAATGTGAAGGAGCATTTCAGCTGATGATTAAGTCAACCTTTCAAAAGTAGTGAAATATTTGTCCATCGAAAGAAAGGGATTGAGGGCAAATAAAATTGAGAGAGTAAAGTGAATCTGGACACGAGAATAAATTAGTCAAAAATGAAAGTCAATTGTGCTTTGCAGCCCATGCAGGGATAGTCGGTTTTCCTTCGCCTTCTGTCAGACTGGGCACTCGTTTTCCTGGGAGAGGATTTTCCTTGAAATTTTGGCCGAATCCGAAGCGTCTGCGAAGGGATGCCAAGACAAGCAGGGGGAGGATCTCGAGGATTTCCAGGAACATGACCAAGGAGATCCCCAAATACAGACTCAAAGATCCTCCCAAGGTGCTGAACAGACTTGAACTCTAATGCAGAGGAAACACAATGGAACTCCATCATAAAATCTTGATAGCTGACCTTGTCGCCATGGGATCGTCACCGCGATCGTGGGACTTACCGTGATGCTTGGGAATTCTGAGACAGTTTCCTTGACCATCTCTTCGAAGTAGATGACCAATTTGACCACGCCGGCCTTCATCTTATCAAGTTCTTTCCCATCCATCTGTGGCCCCAAAGCCATAGAAGTCATCGCATCCCTCTGAAGACGTTCACAAAAAGAACGTCATTCCCTCTGTTCATGGGGAATCCGCTGATCTACCAATGAGGTACATTATGAGTTCGAGGGTCCCTCTAAACGTGTCCGGATGCGGTCTTCACATGCCTCCTCTCAAACTGAGAATTTTTTGCGGCCGAGAGAATTCAATCAGAACAATCCTATGCAAAAACTTTCAGAGCTCATCATTGCCTTGAACCCGTTTCATAATTGTTTCTACTTTTCATGATCAGGATAAATTCAGGATGAGTTTGTCACGTGAACGCTTCCGAACAATGGCATTCTCTGACTTTGAAAAGTTGATTCTTGCCCAAGGAGTCTTAAACTCCTGGAACAGACTTTCGAAGAATCATGTTCTCATAATGCAGTGTTGGATTGGTTCGCTGAGTTTCAAAGGGGAAAAGTGTTTTTGAAGGATGAGCATCGCTGTGGTCGGCCTCCAACTGCAGGCAGATGGAAATGGAAGCATTGCACGGAAGATGTTTGAAGTGGACAATCGAATTGCACACGAGGACAATTGGGCACGTTTTGAGGTTGAATGAGTAGCAGTAAACGAGATTTTTACGCAGACATTGGTCTGAAGGCAGCCTGCCGATTGGTTCTTTTATGAACCCCTATTCGAAGGAGGATTGTGTGCAATGGTCTGAATTCATGCTTCAGAAATTCAACACTGGACCAGCAAAACCTGACCATAACAATATGGATAGATTCATTTGACGTATAGAAAAAACACCAATCCACGGTCAGGCTCTTCAAATGTAACTCAACTCCAACCGATTCCAAGCGGCTCTGAAGTGAAGGGAGGCATATGGTGACGAGTTTCTTCTCTTTCACTGGCTACATGGCCACCGTACCTATTCAGGTTGAAACTTTTAGGACCTCAAAATGAAACACAGAATCCTACCACCCGGTGTTCGAATCTCTGTTCGGTGTTCCAAACTGTTCACAAGGATGACGAACTGCTTCGATGCTCGGGGAGAAAACATTAAAAATATACTATTATTGCATGAAGCTAAGCTGTTATCTATCTCCTGCATCCGGAAACTTTTAGCGTGACCCTCGAATTGATTTGAATTGAACTAACAATGTAGTTGTCCGTCGGCCATACCGCTGACGATATCGTTCGACGATATTCCTTGCTTCTGGAAAAAAAAGATGCATTAATTGAATTTTTAAATATGAACTAATACCTTGCACGAAGGAGCAATTTATGATATCCCAACGGTGTCAATGCGTATTATTGATACTCTGCGTCCAAAACGGACGCCCTGTTTGAAGTCTGTAAGTACAAATTCATGAATATAGATATGAATATGCATATTTTGGCATTTGACAATTGTCAAAGTCATGAGCCAAGATTGAATTTTCACGCAACATGCAAGCCTCTAATGAAGTATATTGAAAGCTACATACAACCTTAGTACAACAGTTCTTAAGTTTCAAAGTGTTCACAAAACTTCCCATAGTTTCCATGGAGAGGACGTGAAGCCACATCATCTGTCTGACCCAGATGGAGCATTAGGTGTTTTCACCATATTTCGTTAACTTTCTCTATACTACTACTAAGTACAGGTAAACCTTCCATGCACAATATCCGTGGTCCTAACCAAAAACACAAGGGATATTCCCTCATTTTCTAACGTATGTTCTCATGGCTTGAGCAATGTTTTATTTCCAACTGAGATGCATTGCTTTTTCTGGCTGTAACCCATTCCCTGTTTTAAAAAAAAGCCCTCAAGACCTCCTCTGCGTTTGAGAATTACGTTATGTCTCTGCTGACAATGGTTTAAGTTTAAATTGTCCGATCCTGCATGCTAATGATGGTAGACCTAAATGTGTTGTAAAATGCATTTCCAGGAACAGCCTGTTAGAAAAGTGCACGAGTTTTAAGATGTGCATAAATCTATTGACAGGCATGATTTCACCAAAAGCAGGGAGGATAAAAAGTTAATCAGTTTCCATCGAGAATGAATAGTAGGCATTATTGCAATGCCCATTAAAATCAATGGCAAAATAAATGTACAAAATTCCTATACAGAGAGTTTTCTCCTTAGTTTTACCCTTGAATATTCACTTAAAGCTGTGTTAGGAATAAGATCTGATGCAAATGTTTATGTTATTACATGTTCAAGGAGATTACCATGTTGTCCATGTTGCCATGAACATATAAATTGACCTGGGTGATCAGTGGAAATTAGTTCAGAATCGTCTATCCCACAGAGGTTGAAATATTCAATTTCAATCCAGAATTTTTCCTTTAAAAGTCAAGAAATGAATTGAATGGGGATTATTTGCAAACTCATGTACATCAACTGTTTTTCGCCCCCATTGGCCTACCATTATACCTGCTTGCATCTCCAATCCCAGCATCGTAATCTTCCCCTTAAGCTTCGGTCTATTTCTACATCACTGTCCTTTTCACTACTAACACTGTAAATGTCACAATCTACATTTCAAATTATACTCGTTTCATCATCATCTAACGGAAAACTAAGTAAGAAGCCATTCATACAAAGATACGTACTGGGGTTAACAGCGAAAGTATTACTTTTAGGCAATTCGTTTTATTGCAGTTAAAACGGCTTTAAAATTAATAGTATTCAGGAATTAATCAAAGGCAGCGACAGATCGTGATGAAGAGGCACAAACGTAAGCGTAAAATTTAGTTTTGCTCGTGGCGGACCATTAGCGTAATCGCATGAATCGCAGCGAAAGGCGCGGAAATACGAAAGGGTTGCGACTCACTCGCATTCTGCATTGCAGGGAATCGTGACGTTTCCCATGGTGAGCTCAGTGAAGACTTTCCATGTGCAAAGGAAATCCGAGGTATCTAAAACGATTCGAGATGAATATTTAAAATATCGTCAATGCCTCACCTCAGATTCAAGCCTTCACCTTCGTCTTGTCTCAGCCGGAAGGGACATCATCACCTTATTGCAGACGTTTTAAACTTAAAATCCACTGTTAATTGCTTTATATTTAAAAAGCGAAACCAAGAAGCTGCGGTTTTTTTACGTTTATTATGAGTAACGCTCCGACCCAAATTAAATCTGTTCTCCAGTTTGCCATCGATTTAGATTTCAGAAAAGTTTAACTTATTCACAATGATTATTTCTCGCGCAAATGTGCATGAAATGAAATCTGACATTAGCAAGTAGCAGAATTAGTAGAGAACAATAGTCTACGATTACGTTAATCAGCCACGTCAACAGGGAAAATTAAATTTCAGCACGTTCTTCGACTCAAAGCTTCTATTTGTGCTGCTTAAATCGGAAAATATTTGGTACCGGTATATACGGACCTTCATTTGATATGCTGCAGTGTATATTTCGGGAAATTACATGGACCAATATAGGCATACTTTCGTGTAATGTGGCTCATGGCTCCAGGAGAATGAGACATGTTGCGAGTAGAGAGGCAAAATGCCAACGTTGGCTTTTTCGAGCTATGAGGCGCTGACGCCGTTGGCGTTGAAGACATTTCAGTACTCTATGGTGTAATGTTTAAAAAAATTCACAAACGAACGTCAGCGTGCGACCTCAAAGATATCACTTTTTTAACGTGTAAGTACGGATCCTATGAATGCATCAAATAATTTAAGGAAATAATTAGGCATTATTATATTTTCTTCCCAAGCTGAAAGTCAATAAATGAAAAGGAGCCAGTGGTTGAGGAGGGTGGAGGAAATCCGAAAACCTGAATTTATTCACTTTTTGAATATAGTACTACTTATTGTGCCAATATCAATACTGATAGTTTCTCGCTTTCTATATCAAGACAAAAGAGGTTACGAGTCCCCGACCGCCCAAGAAAGGCATGAAAGTGCGTCAAATTATAAGTTTATTAGTTTTAACTAGGAAGAAGAATGAGCTGGTAGAGAGGCTCATGGCACTCATGGCACTCTCTTCCCAACTTGGATCCGAAATTGAAAATAATAATTTTCTAATGCAGCGCCATTGTCATTTTTAGAATAGGAAAGACAACCAGACCGTTCTGTCGAAAATCGCAAACATGAACTTCATCCAGGGTCCCATTTGAGAAGGTGAAATATTCTTGGATCAGGGGGAGTTTGCACTTACATCTCTTCACCATATACGCTTGTAGGAACATCCGCTTGCACATCTGCATCCAAATACGAAAAGCTCGGAATTCAACGAAAACCTTGCGAGATTGCTTACGGGAATGCGTTCAAAACATAAACGTCTTTGACACTTTCATAGACTTTTTCAGTGACTTTTCGTATGCATCTTCAGCTGTTTAAAGAAAAAACCCACAGTTTCTGTCGGGGCATGTTCTTAGAATTCATAAGGAGGAGCAATTGCTAGTGACATGATATATATGAACGAAATGGATGAGAGGGGGGTATGGAATTATCCCGGTCTTCAAAAACATCAAAAGTGTAGTTGAACTTGGTTATTTTTACACTGTCTAATTGTAATATTGGTTATTATTTCAGTGTCTCATTGAAAAACCAGTGATATGTCATCGAAAAGTGTGATGCTCTAACACAACAATCACACCCTTATGCCTTCTACATCTTCATCTTTGGAATCCTTGCCCTTGGCTAGACCTTTACTCCAACCCCTTAATAGTTCTATATTTTTATCATGTGAGATACAACTTTTCCAAGAAATTAAAAATGCCATGCATTAGAAAAGGACAAAGGACAAAGGACACTCTCTGCACCAGCCGTACGCCAGAGGGTAAAATTTACACCAGAAAACCAGGAAACCAGGAAACCAGGAAAATAACTTCCTTCTAAACGTAAAAAAAAAATGGTGCAGCAACAGAAGCAGCATGATTTTCTTTAGGATTATTATGTTGTAAAGGAATCATTGGAATAAAACTCTAAAGTACTGTTAATATTCTTCAGTGCCAATGGGTGGCATTTTGGAAAGTTCAGTTACTTTTCAACCCTTCCTCGTTCATCGTTCGACTGTGCAACCTTGGGTGTGGCTCTTAGAAATGCTACTTACCACAGAGCTGTAGGCAATGAGGTCTGTGTTGGTTGGATAGTACCCACTGTCGTCCCAAGAACTGTAGCATTCATTTTCGTAGGGGAACGCCAGCCTCAAGACATTCACCTACCCGTATTTAAGATATTATTCAATTATTGGACGCACCATGAGAATGCACAGAAAGTGAAGAAAACACGCACTGTCATGAAACATAAGGGCAGAAAAGGGCCGTAATTTCAAGTTTAATATGCCTAGCACTGAAAAGTTCATATCATCGCCAATAATAATGCTTTGTTTTTACGATAATTTAATATTTCAGAATTTTTAATGAATCGGTTCTTTTGTAAATTGTGATGAATATTTTTTGTTTTCGTCTTAGAAGAAGATAAGTCTTGGTGGGTTGATAGTTCCATGGAATCCTATGAGAGCCAAATGAAATTCGTGACAGGAGCTCGATCGAATTAGTTGCTACAGAGAGCTCCAGTATTTGATGTGGGAAGGTTGTCACACATCAAAGGGCACTTGGAATTTCGTAAAATTTCTGAAAAATATTAATTATTCATATTGATAAAATGCATTCCTTTCTCAAAAGAAAATTTCACTTTCATCTTGCATTCCAATATTTTATATTATATTTTCAAAATTCCATTTTATCTTCTAATTTAAAATATTATAGTCTCCTATATACGTCATTCATCAATAATTTCCATGACCACATTTTCCATGACAAATTCATTCGTTATTGACCGATAAGAATGCAAATTTCGACCTCTCTGAGCGCGATGTTAGTGATGAATCCGGCACTGGCATGGAAACCGGATTCCTCGGGTGAAGGGAGGCTGTCTGGTCGATGGATGTCAACACGGACGCCACCCTGCGATGACAGCACACTCGATGGCCAGTCGCTCGCATTCAAATATAACTCCACCTCCAGCCCTGTTGATTGCCAGGCCCTTGTCAAGGATATTTCACATGGGATGCAAGTAGCCACCTTAACCAGACTATATTGCTTGCATGTGCTTGAAAGGATGGGAGTCAATGCCTACGTTTGATACTCAGAACTCTGACTTATGTCTGCTCCATAATACGAATGCCGTACCAAACAATGAGACTTTTTCATGTGGAGAAAGGCTGCTTCCGTTTGACAATTTTTATTCCTCCTAAATGTAATAATCGACGATTACAGATTTGTATCGGCGCAAAGACGTTGGCATGGTTTTTCAGAAAATCTCATCTGTGCAATTCCAATCGGAAATTAAGGTTTTTCCTTCCACCACTTCAGTTAAAAATACCCTTAAGACTGAGACTAATTTTGTTTTGTTATTTGGAATGCTACAATGCCTTTCGTTAAATCTATTCCATCGTGTTTCAACACGTTGACTAATATCTGGTCCTTCATAACGCTTCTGTGTAAAGCAATAGATGAAAGCGTACTTATGCGAAGTTTCAAACTTGGTTAGCCAAATTATTCAACATGCACGTGTAACTACTGACTTCGTCTGGATGGCCTTAAGAACAGACTCCTCGAAGTTGAGAAAATTCACTATTTCGCTGTTGCTTACTTTCATATAATCTCCCCTGGAATGTGAGATGGCGTCAAACGTTCCATATTGACCCGCATCATGGTGTAAGGGACAGATTGCTCATTCTTCCAGAGTCACACGAGCCTCAACAATTGGAACTGATTTCTAAAATAAAGAAACGTACCACTGCATGGACCACTGAAGAGAGATTGCCTGATTCCAGCCATTGAATCAAAATCCTTGTTCGAAACCATGTTGAAGGTGTAGCAACTTCCATAGGTCGTGTTCATGAACGGCAAAAAGTCGCTGCATGTGGAAAAGGATTCTCGCATTAGCTGATGATATCAAAATAGGGCTGCTAAATTACACAATTTTTTCTGACACAGTTACTTTGCTTCTAGGAAAGATAATGGGGTTACTTTTTGCAATCCACTCCTTGATAGTTGCAGTTGCGGATAAATTCATTTCTATCTTGCATGATTTCAGCCTTTTCCTTCAAACTCAGGAGAGACAGGAAATACATTAAATTGTACAAGGCCAAGGTGCTTGAAGGGAAAACACCGCCAGCTCCACCCTGCAACATGCACACAGCAGTCAGCATGATTCCCTGTAAATAGGTAATGTTGAGTGATTTCTGGATGGCCATCCTTTCAAAAAGTTCTCGGACAGGCCTTCAAACGATCAAATTATGTAGAGAAGTTGGGATTCAGTATGATCCCATCGAAATAATTCAATTGACATGGAATTCACTTCTCCCAACGTTCGTGAAAGTCAAGGAACAGTGCCTATGACCCATTCATAACAATAACAATAATAACAATCATTCATAACAATCTTCAACCCGTTGGACGTAGCTGACTAGAGAGAGCCGGTGTCTGGAAGCGGCGGACTTTGGGGGAGGTACTTCATTCTGGGAAAAGCGGGAAGCCACAAAGCACTACGTCCAGTCCTGAAGGCCGGTCCAGGTACTTTTTCATGAGTCCACGTAGTTGAAAACTTCTGGCGAATCATCTTCGAATTTGATTCTTTAAATCTTGTTTGAAGGAATTGAAAAGCGTGTCACCCGGCAGGCGAAACGAGGCGTTCATATAATACGCATTCGCTGCATTAATGCACACTTTTTGCTTGTATTTCTCTGTTGACCAGTAACGATATGCTTCAGAAGTAGAACGGTCAGGTTTCTATTTATTCATTCTGTGTCCGTGAGGTCACAGAATCACTCTATGGTATTGAGAAAGCTTCATTTTCAAATAGGAATTTCATATATATTTACATGCGTCTATAGGTTGCAATTGACCTGTCGGGTCTCTAGTGATATTTCATGATTTATTCATATTTACATGAATTAAAGCAGGTATTTGTCTCATCTTCCGAAGTTAAAGTAGAAAAAGTCGTAAAATGCTCACTTTGGATGAGTCCACTTCGCCGAATGCTGTCTCATTTCCCCTGGGTGATGTTTCATTTCTGCTGAGACACCCTAATATCTGGAAAGGAAATAATATGAAATGCCTTTTTCCTGCTTCAGTGCAATTTTGGAGTTGGTTTCCTATGTCAACAAAAGGAGTAGATATTTTCTCATCACATACGAGAAAAAACCCTAAATATATTTTCCTACTTTGGCAGAAACAACTACATTGAAGACAAGATCAAGAGTTTCTGTTTCAATACAGGCAACGTCAAAGGACATACTTTGTAGATATCGCAGCGACTCATGCCAAATATTGTCTAGGAATGACAATTTCTCTATGAAACTCTGTATCATGGCCAAAATGTAATATAAATCGAGAATGTTCCTTTCTTGGCCTTTAATATGGCGAAGAATGACGGTAATGGAGCTTTTTCGATATGAGGACTAACCATAAATCATCGACAATGGCACATTTATAGATTAAGATCCCACCCCCCCCCCCCCCGATTTACGAGAGATTCACCCAAGCACCGTTTCGAGCCCGTTTTACAGTAATACCTGTGCCAAAACTCCGCCATCGTTTAAGTCCATGACCTTGGAGCAAGGGAAAGGCGAGAGGTTGCAGATCGTCACAGCCGGGAAAGTCAGGGTTTTCGGCTGGGTCACAGACACCGTTGTCGATACGGAATACTGAAGGTACATCCTTATCACGTCAAGGATCCCCTGTGTGAAAAAGTCAAGCCAAGAACATTTTGTCCTGAACTGCCTCATATCAAAAGTTCATTTATCCTCCACCAAATTCAGTCCAATCCAATCCTGAAGATTCCCGGAGAACTCACATGGATGGTGGCTACGGCGGCGACTACAGTAATGACCCACCAAATGAACTTGCGAAAAGGATGAGTGGCTCTGGAGGCATTGCTGATGCCATTAATCTGGGTGGTGCTGTAGAATTCGTCCAGCACATTCTTCACAGGATGGAACACGTTCTTTGTCATCGTGTCGCTCCCTGAATATACCGAATGATACTGACTAATGACAGAGGTAGAAATGCAAAATGGAATATATATACATTTCTAGCCAACCAATGAGATCCATGGATTGAACGTATATATCGAGTCCTGGAGTATTAGCCATACGTCCCAACCGAATTCAAGGGCGTCGGGCTCTTAATGATGGGCGCACCTCCAAAATGCATGCAATTATCCTGTAATTTTGTGGCTAGAGTCAAAATGGAAGCGGTTCCTCCTTAATAAATGCCTTCGAGCATTTATTAAGTTCATTAACCTCAATTTGAGCTGGGTGGAGCACCATATTGGAACCTCTTAAATTCATCAAACATACAAGGGATTTCTAAAAAGTTCTGCGAATAGCCCACAAGTCGTCATCGAAGGCGGCCGGAAAGTGCTGGACCAGTTCGGGAAACTTATTTTTTTTTATTAAAAAAAGGTTTTTCACCTGGTTGGATCCATCGCATGAAAAAATGCATTGAAATGGGTGGGGAGTATGTGGAAAATGTGTGAGATAGTTGCCTGTGGCAATAAAGATCAGAATTTAATCATGGAACACTAGATTTTTTTTTCTTTGGGTCTACTGGCAGAATTTTTGAGAAATCCCTCGTATAAAGGGTGGTTTTAAAAAAACGCTCTACCGTTTTCTATGGGAGAAACAGTTTCATAAATTCGGCGAATAAATTTTCATTGGATAGGATATCGATATTTGACTGTTCCCAGGTGTTAAAATGCTTGCCAGCTTTTTTTCAACACTCTTGCCAAAATTTTGCAATTCCAATTTAGAGGTGAGTTATAGGTGCTTAGAGGTGGAGCATTCCACCTCAAGAGTTGAAAATCTGGAATTGTATTGGAAAAAATGTAGCCTCTATTTTGAGCAAGTTCGGTCGGTGCGATATTTCATTTTCTAGGCAGGGAATAACAGTTGTGATCTATTCAACAATCTCAGAAAGAAAGGAAATGGAGGTCCAATCATTCCATCAGACGTGAAAGAAGATTTTTGCAGCTGTTTGCAGAATTAGAGATAGGATTTGCAAATTTGCTTTTTCTATTGAATCGCTTTAAACTTTGAGTGCATTCATGAAGTCATTAAATTCTACATCTGTGTTCGAAGGTGCTTGAACAATCAAAGGCCGTTGCTTGTGGGTCGATTAAGCCTCCCAACTGTTCACTGATTTGTCCCGCCACGAGAAATGCTATTTGTGTAACCTCTCTTCTTCAATGTGCAACCTTTAGTCTGACGGCTTCTTCCGCTTAACGGGAGTATCTGTACTTTAAATAACTAGTTCGTAAAAGTCATTCATTCAGTGCAATGAAGAAATGGCTCAACATTTGGTGACTTTCTTGTCGGTGAACTTGTGAAGTGAATTAGCTGAGGGGGTTAGCGATGAAAATTTTCAGGAGGCAATTTGCGCGAAGTTTCCATTTTCAATGATCCAATACGAAGACCAAGACTTTTTTGTTATAGATGTTACTGGGAATAACTCGTCCTCCCTTTCCTTCCTTTTAGAGATTGTTGGAGGGATCACAATAGTTCTTCGCTCCCCAAAAAACGCCATATCCCACCTACCGAACTTGCTCATGACAGAGGCCAATTGTTTCTGTACAATCCTAGATTTCAAAGCCTTAGACTCCGTACTTCCTGTCCATTTTCACTCAAACATGTAAACTCTGTACATTTAGGGTCCAGCCTGAAACCCGGCTTTCACGGGGGGGAAGGGCGGCTGTGGGATCGGTGGATGACAACACGGACTCCGCCCTGAGTTGATAGCACCCTTTGTGGCCAATCGATCTCCTGCAAATGCAATTCCAGCTCCATCCCAGCCAGGCGACAAACACAGGGCGAGGGAAACTCCCAACTTAATGCAATGCAAACGCCTACATGAGCCAATAGGCATTATAACGCCTGCATCATTTATGAAAGGAGAGAAGCGATATCTATTTATTGTAGATTTCACAGTATGTATTATTCCATGTAGTACGAGGGTCAGTCAACTGAAAACAGGACATGATTTTTTTTTCTCCCAAACATCTTCGCAACCGTATTTTTTCACGTGCCGTTTTCTTTGTCGGCATGTTCCCTAGGGACATGCACAGTTTTTTTTCTCTGTCTGCACTTTTTTACAGCATGAGATTCTTTCAAACATGGCCTCCGAGGTGTTGGTTTGCACCAAGAAAGAGGTACCTACTGTGATCCGTTTCCTTGTTGCTGAATGCATTAATGATAATGAAATTCATCAGAGACTCAAAGCTGTGTATGGTGATCACTGCATTGCAAGGAACAACGTCTACGAGTGGGTGCAGAAGTTTCAAAGTGTGAAGAATGCTCCGCGCCCGGGCCAAGCGCACTGCGTAGTGACGTCGGAGACGGTAGCACGCGCCGAGGAACTTGTTAAACAGGATCGGCGAATGACACTAGATGAAATCGCTGCCAACCTGGGTATAAGTCATGGCTCTACCCACCATATCGTTCACGAGATGCTGAGATTCGATAAAGTGTGTGCGAGATGGATCCCCCGTCTACTGACGGAAGAGATGAAGAGCCAGCGCGAAACCAGTGGGGTTTCCCTGATGAGCCGTTTCGAAGCTGAAGGAGATTCTTTCCTTTCACGAATTGTGACAGGAGATGAGACATGAGTCCACTACCACACACCAGAGAGCAAACGAGCCAGTATGGAATGGTGGCACAAGACCTCTCCTCGCCCCAAGAAATGCAAGATCATCGCATCTGCTGGAAAATTGATGCTGACCATTTTTTGGGACATGAATGGCGTTCTTGTGACTCACTATCAACCTCGCGGGGTTACCGTAACCAGGGACACGTACTCACAGCTGCTGCGAGATGAACTGAAGCCTGCAGTTCGAACAAAACGTCGTGGTCTCCTCAAGAAAGAAGTACTTCTTCTCCACGACGATGCTCGTCCCCACACTGCTCGACAGACTAGAAACCATTACAGATCTCGGATTTGAAGTTCTTCCGCATCCGCCATCCAGCCCGGACTTAGCCCCTAGTGATTTTCACCTTTTTGGACCTCCCAAGGAAGCGCTGCGCGGGCGAAAGTTTCAGTCTGACAATGAGGTGCAGGTGGCAGTGCATTCGTGGCTGAAAGGGGCAACCCAAATCCTTTTTTGTCTCGGGCGTCACATCTCTAGTAGGACGTTGGCAAAAATGCATTGATGAGCAGGGGTATTACATAGAAAAATGACGAAATCATCACCTTCAAACAGATGTAATATAAGGCTACTTTAAGCAATGTCTTGTTTTCAGTTGACTGGCCGGCGTATAAGGCCAATACTGTTTCTCCATTGGAAGACTGGTTTATGGGCACCAACGTCATCCGAAGACAATAATCTTGACCTTCTCAATGACAACAATTATTGCCAAAATACAAACCTTACAAAAAAAAAGTCCTATAGGAAACCTATAGACTTTTCCTATAAGTTTTTGAGGCACAAAAAACCTATAGGATCCCTTTGGGGCCCTCTATGCCTCTTGGCCTATAGGTTTAGGTGATGTTTTTGGGATTCGAAACCCTAGTATTGCAATCTGGATTACTACTAAATGGGAGGAATACCGGGGTCAATATTAGCGCTGCTTTTCACTCTAAATTCATTGTAGAGTTGGGATCTCCCATGGTGGGACGTATATATCTTCAGTACTAATGATGCCTATATTAGTATAACACTGTAACAACTGTCTCATGGATTGACAGGATGCCGTATCTGTGAGCTCAGTTTCTTCCCTCAGCCTAAAGAAACGACTGACGGAATAGGTATACACCACCTCTTCACAGAAATTCCTTCGTATAATGTAAACCTTTTCTCGTATGAGGTTCCCATAGGGATTATAAGCTTGTTTATGGCCTGGGCTCCACGATTCTGTCTCGAATATGGAAAAAGCAACTAAGGATGTTTCCAAGTTTATTGATTGCGATTATGAGACAAGGCGAAACATATGCGGAGATACAAAACACTCCTGATAGGGTTGATTCCATAGATAGAGGAAAGGGCAATTTTGTGTACTGTAAGAAATGCGAGTCATTTTCCTACTAGTGGCCAGAATGAGAACTTCAACATTTCCCTAAAACTTTAAAATGCAACTCAGGCACATTGAATCATAGTATCGGTCCGATACTGGATCTTTGACGTAATGACAATATTGGGAAGCGAATAGTTACCAAATATTGGCAATATTGCCAAGGTGCAGCCAACGTGTCCAATGGTCCTACATTGAGCAAATGTCTGGTGCTATTGGGGAGGTGAGTGAGCATGCCAATAAGTGACGTACAATGTTGAACCAACGTTCGTCTGAGTGTTGCGATGAGTGACATTTAAATATTGAACTCATATTAGATGCAATGCCAACACAACGCTGGGAAGGTTCAAACTTAACGTTTAAGCAATGCTGATTGAATCTTCGTTTATTTTTTAGCTCTTCCTCTTAAACCCACCACAATGACGAATATAGGGATGGTGAGGAGGGGGGGGGTTATAGAAGCGCCTTTCCATGAATAATTCTGATGTGCTTATCCATCAATCAAATGAAATCATTCAGTAAAAAGTGAAGATTATCGACTTTCGCTTATCAACGAGATCGACTATGGAGGAAGAATCAATTCATCCCCTCATGCAGATCATCAGGAACCAGAAAACCTTGTCCGTTTTATTAATTCCAGTCCTGCGCATGAGGCACTCTTCGTATCAGATCATAAACAACAGTAACGTCCATTGCTGATGGCATAACGATATGTGACAGGAAGGAAAATGCTGAATACAATGGAAAATTTCTTGTGTTGGGGGTTTTGGTGTATTCGTCGCACAGGGAGGCATGAAACATTTCTCACGGCACGATCATTTTTTTTTCATATATCTCAATTTCAATTTGGTTACTTCATCTTGTTTTTGGTTTATTATTTTGTACTCAGGTTTGGGTAATCCCATGAATATTCATCGAGAGGAAATTGCTTCCAATACCCTCTTCTCGTTCCAGCTGATAGTCCAAAAATAAAAGGTTATACGTTTTTAGTTCCATTGGATCTTGGTCATAATGAAGTACAACATAGTGGTGGGAAGCTTTTGGTATATGTATATGGTATATAGGGCAAAAATACAACCACAGAGTAAATACATATGGCGGTGGCCGAGCCAAATATGCATAACGGCAGCGAGTTTATCTAGTGAAGAGAATCCTTGTGCTTCAATTATATATAAATATTTTCATGAAAAACATCCATGTTCCTAACTTCTCCGACAAATCATCAGGGCTTCGTGAGCCATGCAAGGTTTGTAGGGTATTTTCTGGCACTCCGCCGAGGCACCCGCTTCTTGAGCTCGGGATTTGCCACTGACTTCCGACCGAGACCGAAGAATTTCCCCAGGAACGCCAGGATCATTAGGGGGAGAATCTCGATGACTTCCACGAACATGACCAGGGAAATCCCCAAGTACAGGCTCAGGGCTCCTCCAAGGGTGCTCAACAGGCTCACGCTCTGAAGCAATCGAAATACATCCGAGCTCCATCGTGATCATCCTGGTGGTTAATCGCCTCGCCGCATGGTCATCACGGCGACGATGGAACTTACTGTCACACTCGGATATTCCACGACATTTTCCCGTACCATCGACGAAAAGTATATGACCAACTTGACGACTTCCCCCTTCGTGGCACTCTCTCCCTTCTTCAGCTGAGATCCCAACGCCATGGAGCCCATGGCATCCATCTGAAAAGGTTCGCAAGGAAACCAAAGGTAATTCACACTGGTCTTCGCGAAGAAGTGCTAATGGACTCACCTTGTACATTTGGGCTGGCCATTCCGCCGACGATATCGTCTGCTGGTATGCCGTCTGTCTGTGAACGATATGGAAAGACCTTCATTGACCAGGATATGACGCTCATGACCATAATGATCTATGTTTCTCAAGCGATGTCGACTCCTACCACTTCCCCCAGTGATTTGAACTTTTCATGTGATCGACTTTTTGGAGATTGGGGCTACATTTTCATCGAGAATTTCTCGCCCTGACATGTCATTTTCATCGAGTGTAACCCAACATCGTCCCCTGTACCTGATAAATTCTCAAAAATTATTTTTAAAATGATATGTTTAAGAATTTTCTCAGGTGAGGATTTTGCATCATTCTGAATACTGATTCTTTTTCCTCATGATATCTTTTTTATTGTTCTAAACGCTGAACTTGCGAGAGTGGTGGTCTACTCCTTGGAACGCTAAAACAATACTCAGAAATACTTCTTTAAAGCGTGTACTTCGTCTCAAAAAGGAAAAGAATAAGGGATTAATGGGAATTGAGGGAATCACACAATTTTATTCGCCAATGCTAAAAAAATATATATATAAAAGTGGAAGTGATGCTGTCCAAAGGTTTCTCTCGAAATCAACCACGTTGTATCTGCGTCGCCAGCATCCCGATCAATAAAAATTCGAGTTTAATGCGTTGCAAAGATACACGTTAACTCCACTTTTTTTTAAGAAACAGCTTTCTTCATGCATCCGCAGGAAGAATCTTTTAGAGATTGTACTCATCCCATGTGCCAAGTTACTATCTTGCTTTTAACAGAAAATATAACCTTTCAGATTGTGTAAATACAAAACCAAAATTGAGGACGTGAAGGTAATTTTCTATTGGTCGAAAAGCGCTAATAATGTTTACAATATTGATTGTGTTTAAACAATTTCTTCAGATAAACTTTGATACAAGTACTGGTCTTTTTCTGTAAGCTTCGAATCCATTGCTTTCTTCTGACAAGGATGCAACAAACTGATTCAGTAAAATCTGATTCAGCGATGTCTCAACATACATTTGAGCGCAAAAGAACTTTCCTATCGGATCAATTGAGCCCGAATATCACATTTCGTTCATGCACATACGGAAGAACGTTCCAGACGTGAAACAGAGCTGTAATTTCTTATGCAAGTCGTTCTCGAAGTCATCATTTAAAAAAAAAATTAATATTTCCTGAGTGCAGCCCACCCCCACCCACTTTGGAGGATTGTTGGGGGGGCGGGAAGGGCAGTTCTCCTGAAATTTTTTCTATTGAACAAATTGTCTTCATAGTTACAGAGCAAATAATACGAAGCGAAGGAAAAGCGAAGGTTTCGTTCGTTGTAGGCTGACATTACGTACGCTCAACACCAATCGATGCTTCGCGTTTTGTCTCCCTGGGCTCTTTATACATGAGGATTAGTGAAACTTTCTACAATTTAATTTCCAAAAACTTAGCGAATTTGTCCTGCGAAACACAATTGGTAAAACCATGCTGACAGGAGAGAAAGGGGGGGGGGGAAGAGAAAGGGGAGAAAAGGGAGAATGGTTAGGGACTCACTGGCATTCGGCATTGCAGGGACAGGTCGTGCTCCCTCCGTTTAGGTCATCAAACGTTGATATCAGGCAAGACATGTCCTGGCTATCTGCAATAAGAGGATCCAAAGAGGGGAAAGGTGAAGGAAGCGAGATCGAAGACCATAGGTCGATCGAGTCTCATCACATAGGGCATGCTTCGAACTCGCGCTTCGTGCACTCTGCAGAAAGTTCGTAGAGAAATTGCCGAGACAGGGTCACTCAGTAACATCGGTGGTTTCTTGCTGCGTTTAGAGATCTTTAATGATGACGAAAATGGATCGGTAGGGGAGAGAGGGGGGAGTTTCAATTAGGGCTGTTTATGCTGCACGGGTGGATCTGATTTCATTATTTTACCTCAGACTGTAAGTTTCTCATGGGACTCCAGGATTTAGTCAAAGAGGACGGGAAATTATTACTATTGTTATTTTAAACTGTTATTTAAAATGACAGTTATTTTAAACAAGGAATGAGTTGGATTAACAAAAACGTAATAACAGAAAGTTCTCTGGTTAATAGCATTGATTAGCTCTGGCGAATCCGGCCACGATTTGATACCGATTTACAAGAACAGTAATAATATTTTGTCTTAATAAAGGAAAAAAATTAAAGGAATTCTGTCAGAGATGTGCGGTTAAGATATGTTGCTCTTTCTCGTACTGGAGGCGTTCCAGCTCAAGTGGTCAAGTTTTAATCACTTTCGTTGGGCTTCAGAGTCCGATTTGATTGAAAAAATTACTGCAAGTTGACAATCAAGACTTCTAAGAAAAACAAAAATGTTGACTCTCTGGTTCGAACGGTTTTCAAGATATGCGACCCAAAACTTAGCCTCCAAGAGGAATAGTGGCACTTGGACTTAAAGCGCTATCTTTGGTCCTAGTCCAGCTACTCAATAGAAAAGATTTTTTTTTGCTCTAATTAAAGCTGAGACCATTGCATGATTAAATGCACTTTCTACTACTACGTTTATTGCAAATTTAGTTCCCAAATTTGTAAATATTGCCAATATTTACACGTATATTTTGAGCACTAGGACTTGGTAACACAAGGACCTTTCGCTATATTGTAGACTAAAGCAATGGCAACTTAAAAACTAAATTTCAACTTCCCCACGTTCTTTGAAACTAGATCCAAACTTGTAACTAGTGTCAAACGAAAGCTCTCTCCACGCGCTTTCCATTGATTTGCTGATCGCGCTGTTACTTTAAATTTTCGCGTCTCTGTGTTTTTTTGAAATTTTGAATTCCCAGAATTCCAAAAGAAAAATATGACGAGAATTACAGCATTGGGATCTTGGTTAAGCAACCAGGCCTGGCTAGGTCTCACTATGACATAAATATCGCTTTTTCTATTATATACTTGCATTAAGCAATAAAATATCAATATTCAACATATTTATGGATTTCCCAACCCAACAATTCAGTCTGAATCCTCAACGCATTCATGCACGAACGTTTCAGATTCAGACTTCAGACTGGAGTTGTATTCCTTCAAACTGTAATATGGCTGCAACAAAGTGTAATGAGGCTGTCGCATTTGTCAAATGTTCATGCCTGTAATAAATACAAATATAAAGACAATGGATTACGGGACAATGCATTACGTGTGTCCTCTGGGAGATGTCTGTGAAATCACCGAGATCTACACATTTTCTATTCTTCTTGCAAGAGTTCTTGCAAGTAGTGATAGCGAATGGCTTTTTATATAGAAAGAATCTAGGTTTTCAGCTAGCGTAACCTCCCACAGCGATTCAAAAATGTATCCGTGAAGTCCTTCGTGAAAGCAGGATCACGATGAGGCCATATGGACGAGCAAGCGAGGCAGACCGTAAGAGAGGATGTTGCAAGGTCTGGTTCCATCCAGGGTCCCATTCGCGAAGGTGAAGTAGTCTTGGACGAAGGGGAGCTTGCACTTGCACGCCTTCACCATCGTCGCCTGCATGCACATCCGCCTGCACAACTGCATCAATGCCTGGGAATAACTACTCCGGGTATTTCTGCACGGAATGAAAGTGAGCCCTAGTCCGTTTTACGAAGTATAACATTTGTGCTTTCCTGTGGTGCTGCTGATTCCAATGGGACAAACTGTAAAATCGTTATGAAATTGTCAAGAAAAAAATGAGTCTATTAGAAGTAAACAATTTAAATAAATAATTGAGAGCAAGAATGGGAGACGACATTTTTTTAAGTGCAACACATATGATAACCCGACATCCCCCTACTATTAAAGAACGTTTGCGAGGAACTCACCACCGAGTCGTATTGGATGAAGCTGGAGTTAATCGGATAGAACCCACACTGATCCCAAGAGTTGTAGCATTCGTTTTCGTAGGGGTAAGCCAGCCTGGAGATTTCCATCTGCTCGGACAGAGAATGGGAATCGATTCTTTGGAAGTCCCTTAAAAATATGCAGAAGGTGAAGAACGCAGGCACAGCTTTCGAATGAGCTACATCGAAGGAAACTAACCATAATCAGACATTTAATTCCTCGAAAGTAGGTCATATGGAAAATCATGACGTGCTCCATTCGCCAAATAATCATCAAGATGAAAATTCCCCATTCATTCCTTAATTCAACAACTTGCATAGCAAAAAAAATGAAGGTGCTGCTCCTACGCTACCCAAAATTTGATTACGGGGCAAAACAGAAGAAAAGAGTCAGCAATAAGATTAATGTGACGCTTTCATTTTCACATTTACATAAACAAATTATTTTCTAATAGCGTCTGATAAATAATCCCGTCTCATTAGACTTTCCACTTCTGTAGCATCTCGTAACACAACCGAACAGTCGGAATGTTTTTCGATGAGAATGAATGAGAGTCCACCATGTTGACCTATCTGGGACTAAGTTGGACCCATCATAATTGGAAAGTTTAAAATAAACTCTCAAATGGAAGTTATCATTACTGGATACATGCATTGCTTTTCTTTATCGATTACATGTTAAAGTATGGCAGAAGTTTGCGGTGACTACTGTCGACATTTCATCTGATTTCTTCCCAATTCTACTTAAATAATCCTTCATCTTCAGTTTTTGTATTTGGTGTTTGGTTCGATCCTTTATATTTTCTTAGATTTTCCCATTACATTTTCATCACACGTGTGCATGCAGTCCTACCTCTCTGAGGGCGACGTTGGTTAGGAAACCGGCACTTGCATGGAACCCCTCCTCCTCCGGGGAAGGGAGGCTGTCCGGTCGATGGATGACAACACGGACGCCGCTCAGAGATGGCTGCATATTGGGTGGCCGGTCGCTCGCGTTCAAATACAAATTGAGCTCGAGCCCTATTAAGTGTCAAATAAAGGTGAATGGGGGTCTCTAATTCAAATGCATTGCCAGATAATACACCATGAAAACCCTGCATCAATCATGCAGGGCGTTGTGAGGCAAATTTGCCTGCGCTAGTCAGCACGGGTATGCCTATTTCACAGCTGTCACCATGAAAATGTGGTTTTTTCATGAGAATTGACTTATACATTATACCTTACGGAATATGAATATGGCATGCACATATACCTACCGAATGACTTTGGGAAAAATACATAGTACCTAAGTGTGAGCTCAGACGCATCAATGAACTACATGGGATTTCCGCCGTGGAGAAATTTACTTGCTTCCCCGAGTCCAATTTATTTCCCATGTACTTCCTTACTTCAGTCGCCAAAGTTGAAAGTATTGATAGCTCTAGGTTCAATATGCCCGTGCCGTTGTTGAAACTTCTCCTCATAACATTAAGTATTAAAGCCATTTTTCCACTTCAACTTGTATTACAGCTGTTTCTCGCTTTAGTAAAGAGATCGAGAATTTATCAACTTTTGAGCTGAAAAGCTAAAATTCACCATTCCAAAATAAAATGGTCTGCGAAAGGATAACACTGGCTAGGAAAAAAATCGCCCGCATTCCTCAACCTCATTCGAGGTAGAACTCCGCCTAGTCCCTGATCTCAACATTCATATCCGAGCAAGAAGGAGAATGAGACAGGGTCATAAGAAATGGGTGAGATGGAAGACAAAAGTGCATGACTACCATGAGGCTCGGAATCCTCCGAACACCTCCTCTCCGTGCCTCCTCAGCTGTTTCTTTTAAAGGTATATTACCCGAGGTCCATCACTATCAGCTTGAGGTCGCCGTTCAAGCGTCACTGGATTGCCAGGAGTTTCTCGATCATTCCCGAATGCTAATATTGTACTTCCACCCGTGATTTCTTTCTCGTTATGGTCAAACGCTTCATAGTGACTGGCTTTGTCGCCGAATAGTTCACAGGTCGTTTTTCCTCCTGAGCAAGTTCGCTCGCGGATCTGAGAGTGAAAATAAAGAACGCACCATTGCAGGGTCCACTAAACATAGTTTTCCTGGATCCGGCAGATGCATCAGAGTCATTGTTCAAAATCATGTTGAAGGTGTAACAAGTTCCATATATCGTGTCTTCGTAGGCAGAAAAATAGCTGAAAAGTGGAAACAAATCTCGCATGAGTAGATCACTACTTAATGCCACATGGATTCGCCAATTTTCCTTAGCGATATCGCTTTTGTTTCATGGGATTACCTTTTGCAATCGTTTACACCAAGGTTGCAGCTGCGGATGAATTCATCTCTCTCTTGCATGATTCGAACCTTTTCCGTTTTGCTCAGGGAAGACAGGAGAGACAAGTAAGCGTTGAAGGCGATCATGTCGGCCGAGAATTTCATACTTTTCGCATCCTGCAACAGGTGCATATTTAAGAAAATTCGTTCGTGTAAAGTGGAGATTGTTGCACCACAAATGCTTTCTATGGTGTTAATATTATTCTTGTAATATGGTACTTATAAAGTTCTGAAATACTAAGTAGTTTCTTTATTATAATGACAACTGCCATTCCGGTTCGTTCTTTCATCGCAAACCCAGTTCATTCATGATTTAATTGCCGAATTCCCTGAGAAAAAAAAAACTTAAATATATAACGCTACGACATAAAAAAGGAAATCAACTCGATCGCGCAATGCCCATGCCCAGCATTGAGGACCGAACGAGAAATTGATGGGGAATGTGGTTTAGTTTGCATGATATCAACGGTGATGGCCAAAAGCTTCCATCCCGAATGCTTTAATATTCGAGGGAGAAGGAGGCTGCCGCGAAGATGCTTGGCCAGAATATTAATGGGTCCGTCACAGAGGATGAATATATGAAATTTGAATCTTTTGGGAGTTGACGATTGGAAGTACCTGGCGGGATGGGTTCTTCGCCTGTGAATGGGCCTGGCATGATTTTTCAATTGTTTTTCTCTGTTTTCGTTGAGGGAGAGAAACGATCGGGATGCGAAACGAGGGATCTCATTTCGCCTCAAAGGGGGTCAGCAAAAGTTACTAATGGTTATTACAAAATTGGACGAGGTTGAAACGATGAAATGCCAGAGTTGGATTTACGAGAATCCAGGGGAAAAAAATTATTATGTCTTGCGTACCTATTCCTCATCTAGTCCTCCAAAGACTGAATTTTTTTAATGCAACGAAATGCTAACCGACGATGAGTTGAATGCCGTCCCGTTCGTCCCGTTTCCTCCAGGTGATGACTGATTTTCGCCGGAACACCCTAGTACCTGGAAAGAGGCGAGACGTCGTGTCTCTCATCAAATATCTCATAAAACTTTAGGATGAGTGAATTTTCTGTCAGCGATGAACGCTGCGCGAAGTCCTTAGCCGTTCGCAGCAGAGAGTTACACTAACACTCTGATGAGGAATTTGAAACCTCGCTGCTAGCCCAATCTTTGGCAAAAAAAATGGCAGACTTAAAAAGAGGGATTTCCTGACTCACGATTTAAATTCTCTCGCAAGCAAGATTCACGATCCGAATGGAATACCTGTGCCATGCCTGGAGGGGCGTTCGGGGCCATGACCTTGGAGCAAGGGAAAGGCGAAAGGTTGCAGACCGTTACAGCCGGGAAAGTCAGATATTTCGCTTGGTTCATGGACACCGACGTCGAGATGGAATATTCCAGATAGACCCTGATCACATCATATATCCCCTTCAGGAATGGAGTAAAAAAACAAAAGCCATTCAGTCGCATATCGCGATCGCCGCAGCAACTCGAGTCGCATCCAACCGAGGAAGATCCACGGACTCACATAGACGGTGGCCACCGCAGCGACTACAGTAACGACCCACCAAATGATCTTCCGAAAAGGATGAGTGGCTCTGGAGGCATTGCTGATGCCATTAATCTGAGTGGTGCTGTAGAATTCTTCCAAGACGTTCCTTGCTGGCGCGAAGAAGGACATCCTTCGTGCCGAAGTAACGACGCTGACTGCCGATCGGATAGGCACGCAAGGCACATCTGCATGGATGTTTGTTTATCGCATCGACTCCTGAGAAAATTATCCTCAGGACAAGGGCGGTTTCAAGGGCCTACCTCCTAATTACCCCCTATTTTCAGGGTCATTTCGCTGATCCCGATGGGCGGTAACCGTTCGCATCCACAGGGAGTAGTGTGACGGGCGATGTCGGAGTTTCCACATTAATAATTCGGCCCCGGGTAAACAGGATGTCGCAATCAGTAATCGAGCGGCTCGTAAATAATTCACACCGGAAGCTCTTCGAATAGTTTTTGGGGGATCCTGCCGACTTGCTCTTGCCTTTTCCAGCTCAAGATTCGAGGAATAATATTATATTCATATAATTATGTAGAACCCACCCCCCCTAAAAAAAAAAATTGGAATTAGCCAAGAAGGACATCCTTCCCTTCACCGAAGGAATGACGCCGACTGCCGATCGAATCTGCATGCAGGCACTTTTGCATGACCGTTCGTTTACCGTATCGACTCCGGAGAAAATGAACATTCGGACCAGGCGGTTTCAAGGGCGCACCTCCAAATTGCTCCCTCATTTAGAGGTCTTTTCGCGGCACGGGACGGGCGGAGACCGTTGGCATCTACAGGGAGCAGTCTGGCGGGCGATGTCCATGCTTCCCCATTAATTATTCGACACGGGGTAAACAGGATGCCGTCATCAATATTCGAACCGCGCGTGAGTTATTCACTCCGGAAACTCTTCGAATTTTTGGGGGATCGTGCGTATCTGCTTTTGGCTTTTTCAACTCAATAATTGGGGAATAATATTATATTTACATTAATTTGTAGAACCCCCTCACCCTCCAAAAAAATTCATGCGTGGGATGTGCCAAAAAATATACTTTTCTCCTCATCAACACCTCATTATTATTATTACTATTTCATCCTCATCAACTCACTAATATGAGTTACACTAACACTTTGATGAGGAATCTGAAGCCTCACTGTTAGTCCAATCTTTGGCAAAAACAGGCAGACTTAAAAAGAGGGAATTCCTGACTCACGTTTTAAATTCTCTCGCAAGCAGTATTCACGATCCGTACTGAATACCTGGAGGGACGTTCCGGGCCATGACCTTGGGGCAAGGGAAAGGGGGAAGGTTTTTATGTGCCTGGTAATCGCTGTGAAACAGGCATACCCGTGCTGACGAGTGCAGGCAAGTTTGCCTCACACCGCCCTGCATGATTGATGCACGGTTTTCATTGTGCATTATCTGGCAATGCATTTGAATTAGAGACCCCCATTCACCTTTCTTTGGCACTTAATAGGGCTCGAGCTGGAGGCCTATTTGAAGGGGAGCGACCGGCCACCCAATATGCAGCCATCTCTGAGCGGCGTCCGTGTTGTCATCCATCGACCGGACAGCCTCCCTTCCCCGAAGGAGGCCGGGTTCCATGCAAGTGCCGGGTTCCTAACCAACGTCGCCCTCAGAGAGGTAGGACTGCATGCACACGTGTGATGAAAATGTAATGGGAAAATCAAAGAAAATATAACATCGAACCAAACACCAAATACAAAAACTGAAGATGGAGGATTATTTAAGTAGAATTGGGAAGAAATCAGTTGAAATGGGGACGGCAGTCACCGCAAACTTCTGCCATACCTTGACATGTAATCGAAAAAATAAGCAATGTATGTTTCCACTCATGGAAACCTCCATTTGAGAGACTATTTAAAAACTTTTCAATTATGATGGGTCCGACTTAGTCCCAGATAGGTCAACATGGTGGACTCTCATTCATTCTCATCGAAAAACATTCCGACTGTTCGGTTGTGTTACGAGATGCTACAGAAGTGGAAAGTCTAATGAGACGGGATTATTTATCAGACGCTATTAAAAAATTATTTGTTCATGTCTATGTGAAAATGAAAGCGACACACTCGCCTTAACATAAGGCGTTAGACATAAGGCCTTATCGTGGTCCTGCTTTCACAAAGGACTTCACGGATGCCTTTTTGAATCGCTGTGGGAGATCACGCTAACTGAATACTGTGACGGACTTGGCGGTCTGTCTCGTCAGATCCCCCTTCCGGAGTATTATTGTATTGTATCAGGTATTGAATCCGGCACGTTGGGGTGCTGGCGAGATCCGCCCTCCAGTCCGCAGACCGGATGCCGACACCGGGGGTGACCGTAGCCGTACAGGAGGCTCTAAAATCGGGGTGAACCCCAACGAAACTCAGGAGCGCGCAAACAGCCAAACTTTAATGCGAGACACTGGGGTCAGCAACAGAACGTAGTTTCTCTGCCAGACCAATCAGGGCAATCTGGCCGGTCGCAAAGCAAATGACTGTAACAGCCAAGTAGTACTCATGAGCTAAATATGCCAGATGCGAATGGAGACACGGGGAAAAAGAAGAATATCCGAATCCGAGAAGTTCACCACCTATAATGGTGATTAGGCGCGACGGAAGAAAGGGTACAGAACCTCGTTGTTTACGGTTAGCGAAGGCGGTCCTGACGCTATCCACAGCTCCGCACAGCTCCTAGAAGACGGTCCTGCTCGGGTAGTCATGCCCGCTCGGCTCTACTTCCCAAGGGGGTGTACGCTGTTCCCTCGCGCTTAACTTCTAAGCAACTTCTTTCGGGATATCCGAGGAAACATTCCTCACTCCCGACATAATAGTGGTACGCGGGGACCCATCCTTCTCTCCACGCATCAGATATTTAGATATAATAAGTCACCGGTTTAGGTCGTGGTAAATAACGCGGCGCCAGAGGCGCCATCTCACGTCAATCCACATGTTCATGAGTCTGGTTTAAAAAAAAAAAAATCCTGCACTATATACATGTTTGGTAAACATTATGTACACATTGTTACAATACCAATATACTTTCTATATAAAAAGCCATTCGCTTTCACTACTTGTAAGAACTCCATCAAATGCTGTCAGTCGCTCATGCGCAGTTTTATTTTTCTCCTGAGAATGGATTTAGGAATAGAAAATGTGTAGAACTCGGAGAGTTCACAGACAACTCCCAGAGGAGACGCACACAAGTTTTGGCATTGTCCCACTGTTAAAAATCGTCGGAGGGGGGCGAACGCGGG